GGCTAAAAGTTATTGGGGAGAGCACCTCCTTCTCCTGGTTGTTTTTTTTTTTTTTTGAGAAAGGGCTTAGGTACCTAGCGGCTGGAGAGGGTGTAGGGTTGTAAACCTCCCCCTCCTCTATGAATGTAACCCCTCATATTCTTTGCTTTAAAAAAACAAGGGTTAAAAATGCACAGAAACTAAATGAATTTTTTCTGACTTGCTGAAAATTCAGAAAAAATATCAGTTTTGCTTCAACCCAACTATTTCATTTTTATTTTATTTTATTTTTCGAACTGCCAGCAAACCAAAAAAAATCAGTTATTTACACAGCTCTTATAATGACCCTCATTCAGGCTAACTGCAAGATTTTGTCTCTGGACTTCCAGCATAAAATCATGAGTCCTGGCTGTTGGAGCAGAAGGAGTAAATAATTGGTAGCGATAGTAAACTCTCATCTTCTTATGTGAACTGGCCACAAGGGCGGTGGTGTGCGGGTGGGGGTGGGGCACTAAACTTGCGTTGTTACTTACCATGCGGAATCATTTCTGTGGATAGAAGGGTTCAGTTGTCATCACTGTCAACACATCATCTTTCCTCAGTTCTGAAATTACTTTAAAAAGCACAGTATATGTTGTTCCATCTTCCTGTCATGTGGTGAAGAGTAATGTAGCCATTTGCAGTTGTTAGTACATCACCATCAAGCTTTGGTGTCTGACAGGCAGTTTACAAGAAACTGGGTGTAATCACCTTTCCTAAAAATAACCCCTATCAAAAAATCATTGACAGATGATACTTCGCAAATTTTTCCATTAAATGTATTGCATGATGCCAAATTGTAACAGCATTTGATTATTTTGATTCAATTAAAGGAATTATTGGGGATAAACCCTCTAAATGCTCATGATGATTAGGATATGAAGAACTAAATTGATGTCTTTTGCCAAGAAACTGAAGGAATCGATTTATATGTTGTTGTATTTGCATCTTGACACAGCTGATGGAAGGGAAAAGGAATATAGCTATTTTAGACATACACTTTAAAGAGATGCAGTCAAGGAAAATACACTGGGGGGGGGGGGGCAAACATAGCAAGTTATATGTTTGTGTGTTTAAAATACCTATTCATTAAAGTCACAGATATCATTCAGGCTGCTAATTCAAAATGGCACGGATTCATATTATCATTTGGAAGTTCTTTATCCATGGGGAATTTAGTTTTAAACCAAACATTGCTGCAAATTAACTTAAAAAGAACCAAACACAAACTTGCCATGAATTTCATTGTAACTGAAAACAGTCTCCCATTACAGTGCTTGCACAATGTTTTGTTTTTTGCACAGTACGTTTGGGGGTTCTTTTAAAGATTTTGTACTGTAACATTTTTGCAAAAAGCATTGTTTCATAAGATCAAGCTGAACATTAACTTTTGTTACAAGGAGCGCTATACAAGTCTTGTTCCAAGATAATGCCTCTTCTTAGAAGAATCATTAAAATGGAGGACAGTGTGGTCTAGTGGCGAGAGCACTGGATTCTGTTCCCAGTTTTGTCAGCGGCCTGCTGGGTGACGTTGGGCAAATCACATCAGCTCTCTGTGCCTCAGTTCCTTCGCCAATCTGTGAAATGGGGATAATAATACTTTGTAAAGTGCTTTGAAATCTAGTGACGAAAAGCACTATACAAGAACTAAATATTATTATTTAAAATCTAAGTCTCAGTAGAGCCAGATCTTGTTCCTATTAACCTCAGTCGGATATAGCACATGGATATCAGATTTGGATTAAAAGAAGAAAACAGTTTACAATAGTTATAAACCCACTAGACATGAATGGATAAAGCGATAACCAAAGTCTTCTTTTTTTCTTTCTTCCATCCATGATCAGATGAGTGAATTTGCAAAAGTGTCATTTTCTTAACAGTTCTGCATGCTTTGGTCAAGATTATTAAAATAGGAATAACGTTAGGGTCTGAAATATATATATATTTAGGAATTTTAAATAAGTGGCTTGATTTTTTTCAAAAGTGCTGAGCTCCCAACAACTCTCATTGAGAAAAGTAGGAGCGACTAGGTGCTCAGCACTATTGAAAAGAAAAGTATTTAGGTACCTAAAATACTGATTTGGGAACCTAACTTTAGTCTCCAGTTTTTGAAAATCTTGGCATTTAGAATGGGATCTGCTGACTTCAGTGACATCCTGTGACATTCTGTTCTTGCCACTCAGAACTGTAAGCCATTGCATTTCATTCTTGCTGAGACAGAGGTGTGCATTGCTGGAGATTGGATTCTCTCCCCGCTCCCCCCCCCCCCCCCCCCACGGGTCTATCTTCCTCACCAGCAAACTCCTCAAGACTCTGCCAGTTTAAACCTTGCCTTGCAGGTAAGGATCAGTTAACCCGAGTTCTGCAGAGAGACATCTCTCTCCATTCCCTCTCACTGTGACACTCGCAGAAATTAAGTTCACTGCCTCCAAAGACAGTGTGCGCTCCAGCTGATTAGGTTAGCTGAAGGCTCACACTTACTTCAGTATAAAAAAGCACTGAGATGGTTTATAGTAAAAGTAGAATAAGTTTATTAAATAAAAACCAGCAATGTAAGGAAGAGAAAAAGAGACCAGTATGGTTACAAACAAAACAAAACATGGTTTCTAGTGACTAAATCTTAATTTTAACACGTTACAATCTTTGCCTAAATAGTTTTCTTTCTTATATCAAGTTACGATCTCTAGCTCTCCACGCTAGGGGATCCAACTTTCAGAGGGTACTGTACACTATGTCCCCTAAGTTTTTGCTCCCCTTATATTTCCCAAAGTCCACTGTCTTTGCCTCAAGAGCCAGGAAGGATTCCTGGGGTGCAGATTCTGTCCCTTGGCATGATCACTAAACTATCTTCTCCATTGAGGAATAGCTCAGTGGTTTGAGCATTGGCCTGCTAAACCCAGGGTTGTGAGTTCAATCCTTGAGGGGGCCATTTGGGGCAAAAATTGGGGATTCATCCTGCTTTGAGCAGGGGGTTGGAATAGATGACCTCCTGAGGTCCCTTCCAACCGTGGTATTCTGTGATTGCTTGTTAGCTTGATGGCTATATTTACCTTATATGTAAATGTATTTTCATTGTCCTTTGCATGTGACCAAGCCAGTCAGGCCGGTACAACAATATTCCTTCATCTGGGGCAGGCTGGGTTTATGCACTGCCTCCCAAACACATTTTAAGAACATATTTCCAGCTTTCCTTATACACAACTCACACATACATCATACAATGATTTTTAAGACCAGCATGTCACCAATTTACATATACCTTACATGACACCTTTTAGATACACTCATTACTTCCAACACACTGTCATAACATGTGTCAGGCCTGACATGAATTACAGTATGGTGGGCCCAGTTGGCATTGAGGGACTTGCAGGACCACACACCCACCCCTTCTCGCTCCCCCTTCCCCCAAAAAAGTGTAATGATTGCTGTCAACCCTATAGTGCTAACTCAGCTATGGGAAAGTAAGTTGGATTCTGCTCTGACTTGTACATCAGCAGAATTGTTAACTAAGCTCCAAATTTCAGGATATTCGTAATGATGTATGTATGTGTATTACCTTATTGCCTGGCAGCCCCAAACAAGGAGAGGGCCTCCACTGTACTAGGCACTGTACACACAGAAATAGAAACAGACTGGTCTTTCACAAAAGAGCTTACAGCAATGAGGTTCAAACCAGGAAGTATACAGCTTGACTCTCTGATCTCAGGTAATGAATTTACAAAGATGGAATTTAGGCGAGGAAGTCTTATTATTTGTATTATAAATAGCAAATACAATATGGAGTCACAGAGACAATAAATATGGATGCCCACAGTGCCATTTTCACACACTCTTGTCACAGCTGGGCCACGCTTTAACTTATTTTGGTTCTGATAGGGGGGCATAAAAAGTGGCCTACAAAGTTAACTGAAAAATGTGTGCGCACACACAGTACCCCACCACTTCATATCTAAGGCTCTGTCCACCCTGGGAGCAGAGCTGTATGAGAGACAGCCCACATTGAAAGCAGTTGTTGCTAGTAATGTTTTTGGCACTGTTCCCATGACCAGCGTGGAGAGGATATTTCTCTTTTGCTAGAAAACTGTGTTAAACTGTACTTTGAAACTACAGGTGGCAACCCACATCATGGTTTGTGGGGCATGGTTCTCAGAAAAAAGTACCCGTCTACATGCTAGTCAGGGAAACCATAACAGGACGCTGCTAGCAAGAACCATTGTTTGATATGGTTATAACTAACACATTCCCATTCTGTGTGAACAGGGTCTAAAGGGAGCATTCAGAACATTTGTTGCTTTACTTCCCACGAAATCTGAATCAGTGCAGGCTGCTGGCTCTGCTTAATGGTGACCTCAAACTCACAATGGAACTCTGTTTAAGCCACATTATATATGATCAGTTGGTGGGGGGTTTATTTCTTTGTTGCACTGTTCTGTACGGCTTATAACAGGTGTATTGATCAATGCAGGAAACTGTAATACTGGAAAAAGAAGGGAGTTGCCTAACCCTTATCGATACATTCTAGTCTCCATCAGGGTTTTATGGTGGGCATCATGTCATGAGCATAATGCTTGCTGGGTCATCGGATCAGGCAGGAGGTAATGATCACAACAGGGTGGAAATTCATGGGACCTGAAAAACAAGAAGATATGTTTTAAGTAACAAATGAATGTCCCTTCTAACTAGCCACTCCGTGCTTGGAACTCCCACTGAAGTTCCAAGTATGGGACAGGGTCTAGCCCTGCAAGTCACCTTTAAGGATCAGTATTTCAAAGGAGCAACAACTACTAACCTCACCAGAGCTGAAATCCTTAACGTGAATACTATTAAATTAAACAACGGTAAAGGTAAGTTTAGTTTAAAACCTTGCTGATGTCCTTTTAACTCAATTGCTTTATTGTAAAACAGCTTAGTATATTTAGTCAATTAGTTACCCCAAGTTTTGGGGAGCAAAAGTAATATTTTCCCTCCCATTTTTCTAGGCTTCTTGAAGTCCATTCCCCTGATGCCAAGCACACTGTGGTTCTAAGGAGTAAGGATTCAGCCACAGCCCAGGCCTGGTTCAATGCTATCCACTCCAGTGTGAGTGACCTTATTCCCAGGGTGATTTCAGAGGTGAAAGACCAGCTGGGTAAAACCGGGATCGCTGGAAGTCGAGAGATTAGGCATCTAGGCTGGCTTGCAGAAAAGGTAATGAACATATTTTCTTTTTCATTTCAAAGCTCTCTGTATGTCTGGAAGTAGAGGCTGAATCAGATATTTGTTTTTATTTAGCTTTTACAAAGGCCTCTGATTGTGCCTGCTCTGACCTGTGGTATCTTATCTAACACAGTGGTTCCCAGACTCTCTGCTTCTGCAGACCGTTTAGTAACCAGCTCCTCTTAGGGGCTTGCCTCCCATCCCAACCTTTCTGTCTCCCACTGCTTGGCTCTCAAATGTTAAAATCTGCATACACCTTTGAAGACCTTTGGTGGTCCATGGGCCGCAGTTTGAGAACCTTTGATGTAGTGAGAAGAAAATCCAGGCACGCACAGGAACAGATCCAACATTATTTCAGTGTCAGAGCTCCAGAAATCAACTTTACGCTCTAAGAGCTTGTGTGCTCTGACTGGTTCCACTAGCAGTGCTGGGATATTGATTTACAGTGTCCTTAAAAAGACACACGATTTCCTCAGCAGCACGTGTGGTGTATTAGTGCCTCATAATGAGGCAAAGGATGCAAAAAATTTTCAGATACCTTTCCCAGCTCCATCCAAGGTTAGAAAAGTCAGCAGAAGTCCATGATGGTTAACCCTGCTGTTTATTTTAAGGTGAAGCTCACCCTGTAGAGAGCCAGACTGAGGCCTATATATCACACAACATTTTGGGTTGAATTTCACCATAATAGAATAGGGCCCTTTCTTAGAACTGCTGAACCTCATTAATGAATTTTAATGTTGAAATTTACAGTTCGCAGCTTTGGGCTTGACAGGGGAGCCTCCCTTTTCCCCACTCCTTTTTGTAAGCTCTTTGAACACAGAATATGTTTGGCTATTCTGTATATCCGAATCATCTCCCCGAAGAAGAGGCAAAACACCAATACTTATTGGGCATAAAAAGTTTTATTATCATCTGTGAGTATGTAGCCCCATTTTGAAGGCATACACCTCTATGTGCTAGGCCTGTATTCTTCAGAACAGGAGATTGTCTCCCAATCCTAGCTGAATGTAGCTGTTCTGCATTAGAACATTTACACACCTTGCAGTGGTCTATCGATAGGCTTAAAGTGAATATGCATGTTAAAGATGAGCAGGTTACAAGGTCACTTTAAAGCATCATATTTTGCATGCTCCCAGAGTACATTGCAGAGTGCCTTTCAAGCATTTGTGATCAGCATCACCACATAATAGGATTAAAATAAAGGAGAGTTGTGAAATTGCAGACAGTTCCCTAGCAGTACAGCAGGTGTGCAGTAGAGCACACTGTGGACACGTGCTAGCATTTAAATAAAGAAGAGATGAGCACCCATTCTGAAAATACACTGACATTTTATGCAGTAATACTGGCACAAAATAGCTTCCATATTCCACGCGAAAGTGGGGGCTGCATTGCACTGGTGGGCAATTGATTTCTCTTATGATTGAATCCATTTGTGAATCCTTCAGGATCAAAGGTGCTGTGTAAATGCAGCTTGTTCTTATTCTCATTAAAATGATTACTGAGTGTATATTTTCATAAACCGAACCCAGTGTTTCCTCATTCAGTAAGGAAAAGCATCTGCCGTCTGGCCTCTTCCTCGCAGTCACCATATAATCTTACATAATTACATGCGGTCCTCTTGCTTTCTTCATGTCATGTGATGGGGTGTCCACCCTCCACAAGCTCTGGGCAGGTTAATGTGGGTCAGGAGGGGCCAGTTCTTTAGATGCTGCACCTTGAGGGGAACCAGGGACTGAGAGGGCCTAATGGTAGATGACGTCCAGCTGAGGGAGGAGCTGGGAGAGCCAGGAGGTGAGAGCAGGAAGAGGTGGCAGGGATGAGGTCTGCAGTCACTCTCTAGAGGGAAAGGGAATTGACCAGGGACAAGGAGGAGAGTAAGCTGTGGGGTCCTGCCCTGGATTCGGGAGACTTACAAGAGACCTAGAGGAGTGAAATAGCCATGGAGAGCCAAAGAAACTCCAGGGGTAAACCCAGAGATAGGCAAGGAGATAGAGAGGTGGGGTAGGAAAGAGCCTAGGGGGAAAGAGCAACAGGGTCTGAGACTGAACAGACAGAGATTACTAGTCATCAGGTCCCGGGCTGGAACCCAGAGTAGCAGGTGAGCCCAGGTTCTCTTACCAGCCACTGGCAAAGTGGCACAGGACCTGGAGTTGGAACAGAAGACTGCCTGAGACGGCATATGGATGGGACCTTTCTTGCCCTTGAAGGGAGGGGTCTAGGTAGTGACCTTGGCCAGTGGGCCAAGTCATGAAGAGAAAGAACCCTGAGTCACAGAGAGAGGTCAGCATGAGTAGTGGATGGAAGGGGGCGCCAGATGGGGCAAGAACTATTTCCCAGATCTAACCACAAGGAGGTGCTCCTGCAATGAGCGGAACCCCTTCACGTGGCTCAAAATCTTGCATCAAATGTTAGTGTTCATTGTGGACCGGCACCAAAATGGCAACATTTGCATTGACTTTAATGGGGCCAGGATTTGGCTGTGTGTACTGATTTCTGTATCTTTAGAATAGCTAAAATGAAGAATTAGCATTGATAGATTTTAAGAGGTGTTGTCTTTGAAAAGTAAACATGTTTTCACACCAACCTATCCACTCAGCTGTGTACAGTAGTAATGGTGAGAAGTCAAAAATCTTCTAACCACTTTATTGTAGGAGCCCATTTAGAAGGGGAAATAAAGGGTATGTACAATATAAAGTAAATCAGCTTGGTTTTATTTTGTCACCGGGATGCAAGCTGCAGATCCCTGGTTTCAGAAAGCTGACTTGGAAGGTGAGGGCACTATGGTGCAGGCTTCCTACAATCCCAGTCAGGAGTTGGTTGGTGAAACCAGAAAGTGGGAGGTGTCAGGGTACCTGGACGAGGAGCTGAATTCAGCACATACCCTGGGCACCCTCTCTGGCAGAATTACTCCTGTGGAGCCCTGGTCAGAACTTAAAGCTATTTCCAGCCGGTTAAAGTGCCTTGGGGAGGCCAGCAGCAGTACTATCTGTCCTTCCATGAAAGGGAATCCCCTCTCTGTTTCAATTGCCACTTGTCCATGGGGGGAGGAAACACAACATGGTGTTCCCACATGGTCAAATGAAGCCCATTAGTTACATTATGTGTACCTGACTAATCTCAGTGTTTTTTTTTTCTGCTTTCCTTACATTTGTGACAGGTCTGTAACTTTTCCGTGGACCCTTGTGGGAAGAAATCTGAGCTCTCTTTAGGAAAGCTCTCTTTAGTCTATAACCATTGAGAGCATTTATGACACCACTTTATAATTTGTAGCAAATCCTCATATTGTGGTTAGCATTCACTATGACATTAATCATGATGAATTTTTCTGGTGGTTGTAGGGATGTAAAATGTAATCCCATTGAAATGCCAATGCGATTGCTGGGGTTGTTCTACACTTGCACTAGAGTATTTCGTGTCCGTGCACGGAATTTAGCTTTTAACTTCAGCCTTTCGTTTACTGTAAATAATAGAGGCATTAGAAATCCTGGCTTAGGTAGGGCAATATTAAAATAAGTAGGTGAACATCTAGGGTGCTACATCTAATTGCACACTGCCAGAATTCTTCTGGGACCACTGCAGCCACTTATCAAAAAGCCAATCCTGAATCTTTCATCTCTGGCATGAATTTTCCACTCCAAAGGCATGTCTCTGCTGAGTGCTGAACAGTAGGGGTTTTAGGTGCACTTTAATAGATATATTTCAGAGTAACAGCCGTGTTAGTCTGTATTCTCAAAAAGAAAAGGAGTACTTGTGGCACCTTAGAGACTAACCAATTTATTTGAGCATGAGCTTTCGTGAGCTACAGCTCACTTCATCAGATGCATACCGTGGAAACTGTAGCAGACTTTATATATACACAGAGAATATGAAACAATACCTCCTCCCACCCCACTGTCCTGCTGGTAATAGCTTATCTAAAGTGATCATCAGGTGGGCCATTTCCAGGACAAATCCAGGTTTTCTCACCCTCCACCCCCCCCACAAATTCACTCTCCTGCTGGTGCTAGCCCATCCAAAGTGACAACTCTTTACATAATCAAGTCGGGCTATTTCCTGCACAAATCCAGGTTTTCTCACATCCGCCCCACCCCCATACACACACAAACTCACTCTCCTGCTGGTAATAGCTCATCTAAACTGACCACTCTCCAAGTTTAAATCCAAGTTAAACCAGAACATCTGGGGAGGGGGGGGGGGTAGAAAAAAACAAGAGGAAACAGGCTACCTTGCATAATGACTTAGCCACTCCCAGTCTCTATTTAAGCCTAAATTAATAGTATTCAATTTGCAAATGAATTCCAATTCAGCAGTTTCTCGCTGGAGTCTGGATTTGAAGTTTTTTTGTTTTAAGATAGCGACCTTCATTTCTGTGATTGCGTGACCAGAGAGATTGAAGAGTTCTCCGACTGGTTTATGAATGTTATAATTCTGGACATCTGATTTGTGTCCATTTATTCTTTTACGTAGAGACTGTCCAGTTTGACCAATGTACATGGCAGAGGGGCATTGCTGGCACATGATGGCATATATCACATTGGTGGATGTGCAGGTGAACGAGCCTCTGATAGTGTGGCTGATGTTATTAGGCCCTGTGATGGTGTCCCCTGAATAGATATGTGGGCACAATTGGCAACGGGCTTTGTTGCAAGGATAAGTTCCTGGGTTAGTGGTTCTGTTGTGTGGTATGTGGTTGTTGGTGAGTATTTGCTTCAGGTTGCGGGGACAGTGGGGTGGGAGGAGGTATTGTTTCATATTCTCTGTGTATATATAAAGTCTGCTACAGTTTCCACGGTATGCATCTGATGAAGTGAGCTGTAGCTCACGAAAGCTCATGCTCAAATAAATTGGTTAGTCTCTAAGGTGCCACAAGTACTCCTTTTTTTTTTAATAGATATAGTTGATCTTTTGAAACACTGCTGCAAAGGATTTTGGGACACATTTAGGAACTAAAGTCACTCACGGCAGACTCCAGGCTGTTGGAAGAAAAGCAG